GTGTATATATATATATATACTGTATATAGACTTTCACCTCTATGCTACTTTGGAAATGCACTAAAGGAGCAAATCATTATTATTATTATTATTATTTTACTTCAGATGTTTAAATAAACAGAGAAAATGTACAAGTGAGGAAAATCCTTAAAATCTTAACTGTTTTTGCTGTTAAAGTTGGTTGCTTTATTAAAGAATGTTTTTTCAATTTTGACATCAATAAGGAGTATTACACATTTTAAAATMACGCTTTTTAAAATTCTGTTTTTAGAACTAAGCGTCAAATCTCTCGAGGTGACTCTGCAACCCAGTAAGTCTGTTTTTGCTTTTTTACTTATCGTCCAAATTGCATCAAAAGAACATCACTCATGACAACAAATTTGCTTAAAAGGGAGTCCCGTCACACCCTGAATATCGACGTCAACAGCCGAACGTTTGCCGACGCGAACCTCCGCTTCGCTTCCCGCAAAGACGGCGTCACAGCGTCCATGTCGTCTCCGTCAGCTGGTTTCCTCGGACTGCATCTCCAGAGAAAATCTCCATCACAGCTGCATGGAAAATTGTTCAGCCGTTACCTGGTGAGACAGTTTTTATTCTCTTGTTAGTTCTTTCAGACACTTACTGTGGAACTTGTTACTTAGGTTTGAAAACTTTTTTACCCAGTGGTGGGCACAGGTAACCAAAAAAATTAGCTTCACTAACCACTAATCCGCTACACAAGAATCTTTGTTCCGCTGATGTTAAACCACTAAACAAAAACAAAATTTAGAGGAAGCTAACACTAACTGCTAAGACAGTTAGCAGGACTGATGCAAACCTGTTGTTAGTTTTCTATTGGTTTAARTTGAAGGTGGGTGGAGTAATCTGTGGCAATTCAGCCAATCCTAACTTGCAAAACTTGTAGTTTAACCCTTTCAGAATAAAAGCATTTGTTTGATCAAGTTTGTATTTTCATAAATAATGTTTGAAGTTAGTTTAACAACAAATAGCAAACACTTTCTCTATCATATTATAAACATAGTCATATTTTGTCTTCGTTACTAACTATTGTTAAATGTTAATTTATTTATTTTTGACCCTCTTAGTTTGAAGTTTAGCTGCTAAAGATGCTACATGCTACAGGTGCCTGACARCCAGCACTGCTTGTAAAAGGGGATAGGTTTTATTTACTTTAGGATAAATGGCATAAAAATAAAAGTTTTACACTTCAGTGGACGTAAAAGCAGAAGCCAATTAGTGGAAGCTAATCAGTTTACTAACAGTTCCCAAAGTTATCAAAAAACAAGCTAATCTGCTAAATGAGAAGCTAGTTCCGCTATTATCAAGTTAGCAAAACTGCCCACCACTGTTTTTTACTAATCTTTATTAGGTTGTTTGAAGTTCCTTAACCTAAACCTAAAAAAAAGAGTGTAAGAAGCTTCAGCTGTGACTTTTAAGACAGAATAAGTTTTGAAAATATTCCAGGTAACTTAGAGAAATGTCAAGTGTAAGTTTATTTGAAAGATTAAATCAAGACTGCACTTATCTATACTTGTAGCAGCTAAAAAGGACAAAGTTTTACTCTAGTAGTGCCGAAATCAAAGCTACATTTTGAACTTATTCTACTCTTTTTGTATTTTCTCTCTTCTTCAGTCGTCTCCTGAGAAGGATACTAACGTTTTCACGGTCAAGGCCTCCCTAAAGAACGCAGACAAGCTGGTCCTGCAGACCTCGTGGAACTGGGACTTCTTCAGCAACGCCATGGAGGGCTTGAAGAACCGGATTCCTGCGATGACTAGCGCCTTCTTGAAGTTCGTCAACAAATATCACACCTCACACTTCGGATTTGATCTGAACCGAGGAGGCGTAAAACTGAAGCACGCCATTTCTAATCTGGTGGAGCGAGTTCATCACGGGGTTTCGGTTTCGTTCACAACGGCGCAGGACTTAATCCAAACTTTTGCCCATCAGGGAAATGACACATTCCTGAATGTTTTCGACAGCTTGATGTCCACGGACTTAAAGGACTTTAGAGAGATGGTGCTCCTCCACGTTAAAACAGCTTTTAGACACATTCGTGTTGGAGTCGAAGAGCTCTTATATCCAGTCACAGATTTTCTGACGAACAAAAATTTCACAATTCCTGGATCAGAGAGGAAGCTTTCCGTCATACAGATGTTTGAGGAAGCTCATCAGGCTGCGTCAGAAAGCTTTGACGTTGCAAGCCAACTGTTTTTTAGACTCTTGGAGAAGATTTCTGCGTCCATCAAAAGCATTGAGTTCACCATACCCGAAACTGACATTTCCGTTAACGGACGCGAGCTAGTGGACGACCTGAACGCTGAAATAAACGCTGCGAAATATCACCTGACACATTATTTGAGGAGCAAAATGGACATGCGGGTAATTACAGAGAAAGCCGAAAGCCTCTACGCCTACCTGAAAGAGCGAAACACCGAAGTTAAGCCTCAGATCGAGGCCTTTTACGCAGAAATCCTTCGCTCCTCGAAGCAGGGCGCAGACGAGGCTCGGAGACGCGCAGCTGAGCGTAAAGACCTCCTGAAACTGAAGCTTCACGAGGCTCACAACGCTTTAACTATGGAGGCGGTGAACAGCGGCGCCCAGCAGTTTATCAGTGCTTTACAGTCAAATGTCTCCGAAGCGCTCAGTGAAAGTGTGGATCTGATGAGAAAGGTGTCTCAGAACACGGCGCCGTATATCAGAGTAGGTAAAGAAAAGGTGGACGTAGAAATTCCCTTACCTTTCCTGTGGAAATCCTTCAACGAGTGGCCGACTCAGCTCAGACAGTGAAACTCTCTGACTTGGACTYAACAAATGTGAAAAATGTTTCCATTAAGAAAAAAAAATATGATTTATACAGTGATGACCTGCTGAAAACYTAAGTTTAAAACCTTTGATGTTCATGAAAGAATAAAGGAAATGTTGAGACGTCTGTTAGTTTTACTGCAGCGAGTCTTCAACAGGTCGGGTGGACGAGGTGATGAAAATCAGCTTTATTCAGAGTCTTCTGTCCGGATTTTACACACCAATAAACAAACACCTTGCAGGTAAAGGAAAAAACATGTAAAATGTGCAAATCAAATAAAACACAAGATGTGTTATCTTAAATGTAGATATGACTCACCTGAGTCAGCATCCAGTAGGTCACTAACCTAGATACCTTCAACCCTGCAGAAATGTCAGTATTTTTTTTATTTTGAATTCTAAAATAAAATAAAAAATCACAAACTGAAAGGCAGGTTATAAAATTAAAATTCCAGCCTATAAATGAGCATATAGTTTACTCAGAAATGAATAAAAAAAAAATAATGTTAATGTTAAGCCTTTTGATTAACTCAACATTATAAAAAATAAGTTTGTATTAAGTAAAGGTGTTTAGTTTCATTTTTTTCACACCATAATTTTGCACGAGTACATGTTAGAACCAAGAACCAGAATGTATAGCAAAGATTAAAGCAGTATTTCTAAAGGCAGAGATGATCAGGGAAACGGGGAGACCTGGGTTGCTGATTTTATTTGATCAATTCAATACATTTAAAAAAAATGTCACGCAGAAAATCAAAGGGACTGAGACAATTCCAAGCAATTGAACATGCCTGCCTTAAGATAAGAGAAGGGTTTTGTTGTAATTACATTATCAGGGACACATGGGCGCCAGCTGGACTCAGTAGAAAGGTCAGTTTGACACAAATTGTGATCAGACACGTCTACAGTACAGTTCTGCTTCACCCAGTRATGACGTGTCACTAAAATATCAAGTTTATTAACCTTATTTTTGGACTGTCACGCTGTATAAATGTTGTATTGAAAATAAAAGTCCAGTTTTTTCTCTTATTTTATTTATTTTTTATTTTATTTTTTGAGCAAATGTCATGTGGTTCAACTCCTGACCAGCAGGGGGGGGAAGTCGTTTGTTGATGAGCTTGGTGGCTGCTGCTCATTGTGACCCTTTGTTGCATTCAGGTACCTCGGAAATATGAATATCGATAACGCTTTGTTTTATTATTTTAATATTTGAACGTAATACTTGACAAAATAATCTTTAAGTTCATAAAAAATAATACATCAATTAGTTTGTCTGCTTTATTTTAAAAAATATCCAAAAATACACATTGTACTTGTGGCTTCTTCATGGGAAAGCCCAAACTTCCGAGTTTTATTTTGTACTCGAACGCAGCAGAACACAACCGGAAAACTGTCCAATCAGAAACCGGCAGGGCAGACYGGAGACTCCGAGTTTTCATTGATTATTAAGAGGATAAACCGATAATTTCACAGATAATAAGAGGTAAACTGTTTTGTTACATTTGTTAGATACAACCTAGCTTACTTTATCTGCATTTCATAGAGTTTACACTTTATATTTAGTGTTAATTTACAAGTCTAAATATGATTTATGTCTTGTTATCATCATGTTAGCTAAGAAAGTCGAATTACACTAATGTTGAAAGGTATTTATAAACCTTACTGTTAGCTGAAGTGATTAAATGTGACCTTTTTTATCTTTGACCTGAGTAAATCACCTTCGGACTCTTTCTGCTGAAATATAATCAGATAGCAGATAGTTATGAGTATGAATGAGTATATTTCTAGGATTTTTTTTAGCTGTTCTGAGCCTTATTATAATTATTGTTGTTTATAATAGTGATTTGTTTGTATCTAGTCTGCGGTYTGATTATTGGGGCTGTAATTAGATAAGTATTTAAAGTCAAGAGTATTTTTGTGTTTTGCAGCAGATCAGATGGACAACAGGACAAATGACCCACAGAGAAAGTTTATTTACTGCTCTGGAGCCGTCACAGAACTGCTTCAGTTTGGACCCAGTCGCTTACTTTCAGAACACAAAGTTCTTTTCCTGATTATTCCAGGTGAGTTTAACCAAAACTCTGAATCCTGTTGATAACCTCTTTAGGTTTTGTCTGTTTTATTCCTATATTAAACCACCACAAACTAATTTATAAAATCAGACAACTTCTCAGGATTTTGTTTTTGGAATTTAAAAACAGATTAAAAAGAAAAATGTATATAATTAGGAACTACTAAATGCTMATCTTTGTTACAATGCAAAACGTGATGTTATGTAAAGAGAAACACTTGGTCTTTTAAGTTGGGAGTATTGTTACCAGTGAGGTTTTATTTCCTGCACAGGTAACCCAGGTGTGGTGGGGTTTTATGAAACTTTCATGCAGATGCTTCACAGTTTGTCGGGACACCCGGTGTGGGCTGTGAGCCACGCTGGACACTGTGCTCCCCCCGACTCCATGGACATGGTTGAAGGTATGGATCAGACGCAGCTTCTGAGCAGGAACCGATACAGAACTTCCTGCTGCTTCTCAGAACTGGAACAGATTGGTTTCATTTTGATGTTTTGATGATTCTCCATGTTTTTTATTGTTTCTCTTTAACAGACGCCTCTGCGGCCGAGAGGGACGACGTGTTCGGTCTGAACGGACAGATTGAGCAGAAGCTGGACTTTGTCAGAAAACACGTTCCCAGAGAAACGGGTCTGGTTCTGGTGGGTCACTCCATCGGTTGTTACATCATCCTGGAGATGATGAAGAGGGACCCTGAACTCAAGGTTTGAGATTTTACGATAAAAACAAACAAAAAGTAGTAATAAGACATGCTAAAAATAGCAGAATTGTAACTTAAAGCTATAATTGTTTAAATTTTAGCCTAAAGTAGCAGAACAATAGCTAAAAGTAACTAAAGGCTAATTAAAAGTAGCAGAGCAATACCTGTAAATTTCAAAAGGCTAGCTAAATGCTAAAAGTATCAGAGCAGTGTCTAACAAATAAAAGTAGTAAAAAGCCTGCTTAAAGCTAACATTAATAAAATTCTAGCTTGAGGCTAAAAGTACTGAAATGCTAGCTTAAAATAGCAGAASAATAGCTAAAAAGTGTCAAATGGCTAGCTAAAAGCCAAAAGCACCAGAGCAGCATGCTAACAAATAAAAGTAGCAAAAAGCTATCTAAAAGTACCAAACGTGCTGAATTAGCTAAAGGCAAGCTAAAGGTAGCACGTCTAGTCAAAAAGTAGCAGAGGATTATCTAAAAATGTCAAAAGGTTTGCTAAAAAATAAAAGTACTGTACTGCTAGCCTAGGAGCAAAACAATAGCTAAAAGTAGGAAGTCTATACAAAAAGTAGCAGAGCAATTTTTAAAAGTGACAAATGCCTAGCTAAAATCTAAACGTACCAGAGCAGTATCTAACAAATAAACGTATCCAAAAGCTAACCTAAAGCTAAAAGTATCAAAAGGTAAAGCTAAAAGTACCAGAGCAGTAGTTAAAAAAATTACAAGTAGSATAATGCTAGCTTAAAGTACAGAAAGTCTACAAGGCCTAGGTGCTAAAAGTAGTGAAAATAAGCTAAAACTAATAATAGATCTTCATCTAAAAGCCGAAAGTAACAAAAACCCAAAATAATAAGAATAAAAGGCTGAATGACTYTTTTAGCTGGGAAAGATGAAAGTCAAAAATAACACCTAAAAGAAATCAGAGAAACTGAAAACCAGCTTCACGTGACTTCAGATGATCTGTCTGTTCCTCCCTAACCTTCTGAGATGTTTTTTTTGCCGTAGGTCCTGAAGGCTGTCCTGCTGTTTCCCACCATCGAGCGGATGGCTCAGACCCCTCAGGGGAAGGTCATGACCCCCGTTCTGTGTCAGATGCGGTACCTGGCCTACCTGCCAGTCTTCCTGCTCTCCCTGCTGCCGGACAGTCTCCGAGCTCTGCTGGCCAGACTGGCGCTCAGCGGAGTCTCGTCTCTGGATGGGTGTATCGTCCCTGCCTGTGTGGAGCTGCTGAGTGGAGACTGTGCAGGTGGGAGAACCTCAGCGAGACCACAATGATGTCATTTTCCTCTTTTTTAATGTGTTTTTTTTTTTCTTTTGCAGCCAATGCTATCTACATGGGAGGTCAAGAAATGAAGAAAGTTGTTGAGAGAGACAATAAAACGATTAAGAAACACCTTGACAAGGTAAGAAATTTGATTTAATGACTTAACAACATGAACATGTATTTATCAGTTTAGATAAATTGTGTCTCTTGATGTTTTCAGCTGATATTTTATTACGGAGCCACAGATCACTGGTGCCCTGTGAGTTATTTCCACGACATCAAGCAGGACTTCCCGCACGCCGACGTCATTCTGTGTGAAAAAGGTTTCCGCCACGCCTTCGTCCTGGACGCGGGACGCCAAGTGGCCAAAATGGTCGTCGACTGGATCCGTTGATCTTTGGGGACGTAAGTTTTCTTTCAGGATCTCATGTTGGAACATTTTAACCGGCAGGAGTCGGCGACAAAGATGCAATTTTATTTAGTGAGAGGAAAGTGCATCTCCTATCCTGTTTCCTGGGAGCACACGTCGTTTTTACGATAAAAAATATTTAAAACTTTGTTCCTGTTGTTTTTTTATGCTTAATATTCAACCCAATGGTCCAATTTACTCAAGCACTTTGTAACATCCTGCATGTTTAAAATCACAAGAAGCCACAAACCATGATGCTTCCACCTCTGTGCTTCACAGTTCATATGAGGTTTATTTTAAGTTTGTGCCAAATATGTTCACTGAATTTTTTTAATAAGCTGCAGTTTGTTTAAGACATCTTTTTAAAATATGTTTTCCAGATAAGGTGATGCTTTTATGAGATGATTGCTCCAGTGATCGGGCTGAAAAGTTGATTTATTTTCTTGGTCTGTTTATGATGCAAATTCATTTTATTGCTACCTGACTTGAAGCTCTTCTTTATAGTCCAAATATTAACTTTTAAATGATCCTAAAATGACTTGAAACTCATGTTGGAGAAGATTTTTCCATGTTTGGTGTTTTTGTTTTTAATGAAAAGGAACAATAACTTTCTGAAAACTGAGTTTTTACCTTTAAGACTGTAGCACTGTTTCATCAAATGATTCCTTGTTAGAATATTTAAAGAAGCATTTTAAATTTATGTATTTTCTGATTTTATAAACACAAGCTGGATCTAATTTGCAAAATGTTTTTTAATCTAAAAATTATGAAACCAGCATTTTACCTGAGTTGTTTAAGGCTGTTTTACTGAGCCAATAGTTTGACCTAACACATGTCCCTTGTTTGGGCTGTCAATAAGACCAACCCTCCTTCAAAAAAAAAAAAAAAAACCCCACTTAAATCAGCTCTTAGAATAAATTTGGAAAATTAAAAAAATTATAAGTGTCTCTTGTGGCACTGAATTGGTTGTAAGGACAATGTTGGCCACTAGATGGCGCCTCCAGCACAGACGCCACCCTGGAGAAGAAGTGGGTTTTTGATAAGTTTATACTTCTACCCACTCTGAACCTTCATTTTTGTTGTACTGTTTTGATTTTATTTGCTGAAATTTTATTTGTAATGTGGTGCGTTCAATAAAAATACAAAAAAACCCTCCCTCAGACATCATCTCTACCAGTTAGAAAGAGACAGGAAATAATCAAACTGAACAGATAAAATCACTAGATTCATGGGAAATGTGAGGTAGACTATCTGTTGACAGAATTTCCAGTTAAACCTCTGTGTTTAGGGCTCAGAGACACTGTCTGCCACAAAAGGGTTAATATAAGTCACTGCAACACGTTGCACAAAGCTAAATATGAGAACTTTACTGAAGTCACAAGTAAACAACTTTTTACCAGAACCACAACCATGCAGGAGTCTGCACTCAAGGCGTCTTATATTGTTGCACATCAGCTCACTAAAATAAGCATTTATTTCTGTTTGCTTCAAATGTTTTGTATTTATATTGATTAAACAAGAGTACAACTATTCTACGTGCTTTTGGACATGAAATATGTTAAGTTACTGTATGTTAGTTTACTAAACATACAAAATCCTTTTTAAATTTTCTGTTTTATTACCTTTTGGGGAAGTGTGCAGCTCTGTGTGGCCACTTCCCATCCCTGTTCTGACATCTACCTAATAAAGAATTTAAAGTTAAATTTTGATTTGTAGTGGATATTTTTAGGTTGAGGAATGTGTAATATAAGCCATCCGTTTTATAAAATATGTGCTACAGACATGAACTGTATGGTTGGGTATGTTAAAATGAATCAAAAAGAAAAAATAAGTAGGTCCTCTGGACGGTTTCTTCTATAATGAAACATTTTGTCTCTCCTCCAAGAGACTTCTTCAGTCTGATGAGTTTCAGTTGAACTCAGCCTTATAAGCTCC